CCCACACCTCCTGATCAGCTGTTTTGTGGCATGCAGGGGTCTCTGGCGGAGGGGGGGAGGAGTGAGAGCATGGCAGACTCAGGGGAGGGGGTGGGAAGGGGTGGAGTGGGGGGAGGGCCTGTGGCAGAGCCAGGGGTTGAGCAGTGAGCACCCCCCAGCACATTGGAAAGTTGGCGCCTGTAGCTCCAGCCCCAGAGTCGATGCCTATACAAGGAGCCGCATATGGCTCTAGAGCCACAGGTTGGCCACTCCTGGAATAGAAAGGTTCACTTGTTTTCTAACTGAATAGGTTATTTCCTTCAGAAGGCAGATCCACCACTGTGGATGGACTTCTTTGGGAAATCCAGAGGACTGGAGCCACAAGGCCTATCTCATGACTATGGAAGTTGCCATCAAGCAGGAGGCTGAATTTGATGCATTCATTGAGGCCTGGAGGTTGATCTAGCTAGAATTATTTACTTTCATTGATAATTGGTTGGAACTGAAGTCTATCTTGAGGGAGTTTGTTGGTGAATTCCAAGAACTTATTGTAATTAATGAAATCATACTGCAGCATTCAAGCTTAATAGCTTGCTATGTGGAACAGTAAGTTCCTCACAGTGAAGTTTTCTCCTAAAGCAGTCTAAATGTTTGGCCTTATCAGTGGGTGCCAACTTGGGTGTTTGTTTCATTTGGAGACAGCTTACAAAACTAAAGAGTTCAGAGTGGGGTGTTAAGGTGGCAGATTACTAGTTCCTCAGGTGGCACAAAATATTTCTCATGCTTCCATTCTGAAAAGAACAGATAAGTGGCTGCAGTATGCCAGGCCATCATGGCTGATTCAAAGATGGCCTCATTAAGTGGCAGTGCCACCTTACTGGGACCAGCACTCTGGAAAATATCCAGTAGCTTATATAGGGTGTCCTGTACTTCCTCCAGGGGGCCGTGGAGTGTATCCATATTTCTGCTCAGGGAGACCTGAAACTCTCTGTAGTTAGGCAGTGACAATGAGGCCGATGTGATCGCTTCATTTGGGGACAAGTACGATAACCTCACAGTGGCAAGCGGTGCCACTTAGTCAGCTTGCTCCTCTTTCTTAGATTGTTTCTTAAGGGGCTGAGGTTCTTCCCTGTATGGGGCAAGCGGTCTTGACTCCTAATGTGACCTTATAGATTCAAGCTGTCACATAGTGGGGTCCCTGGGACCCATATAAGACCAGTATAAAGGGATGTAGCGGAGAAGAGGTGGTCCCTGTGGAGAAGGGTACCGCTGGTCTTGAACTGGGTAGTCCCCCTGTAGCAGGGTGGACACCCGCTCCTGCCTGGAAGGGCTTGAAAGCAGCCCTGGAGAGGGCTGCAGCTCTAAAAGCTGGGCTGATTGGGAAAGTGGCCACAGCTGGGCCACATCCCAGTCAGGCCACAGCTGGCCCGTATAAAAAGACTGGGAGCCAGGAGCTCAGGAGTCCCTCTAGCTGTAGAGGGAGATGGGCCTGGCTGCAGGGAGCTAGAGACAGGGTACCTGAGTGGAGCAGGGCTGGGGAAAGGCAGAGGAGCTGGGGAGCTCCAGCCTGGAAAGCCCCAGGCTGCGGCCTACCATAAGGCTAATAGGTACTGGGGGTTGCAGGGGGCAGCTCACGAGTAGGCAGTGGCAGCAGGTCCGAACCCCTTTGCCTGTGACGAGTGGCTGATACTGCAATCAGCCCCAGTGAACAGGGGCTAGATAGAGACTGGGCAGTAGCCGAACATTGAGGCGAAGTGGGGATAGGGGTTCCCTTGGGAGGGAGACCCAGAACTGTGGGGGTACTGCCAGGGGGCAGCACCCCAGACAACAGGGCACCGGGTCCAGGACGGACACGGGGGCCAAGCAGCAGCGGGACACTAGACTGCAGAGGGTGCTCCGGAGGTGGGATGAGCTAATTCCCGGAAGTGACCAGCAAGAGGGGCCGCAGGGGTGAGTCCACACACTTACACCCCCCACCCCCCATGAGAGAGGGAAGGTGCTCATGAGATCTTGGAGCCTCTGTGAGGGCTGACCCCTATCTTGGGGGAGTTGGGGAAGCTCTCCCACTGACTCTGAATGCAGAGGAAAAGGAAGCTTCTGTATCAACTGGCAGTGCCATTGGTATGGGAGACCTTATTGTGCCTCAACTGTACCAGTAAGTTTAGGGACATCCCTGGTTAGGACTGGATCTGACAGTGGCCTTGTCTACACTACTGGGGTAAGTCGACCTAAGTTACGCTACTCCAGCTATGTGAATAATGTAGCTGGAATCGACGTAACATAGGTCGACTTACAACAGGTGTCTTCACTGTGCTGCGTCAACGGGAGATGCTCTCCGGTCGACTTACCTTACTCTTCTTGGGGAGCTGGAGTACTGGAGTTGACTGGAGAGCACTCTGCTGTCGATTTAGCATCAGTCTCCTGGTAGTGAAGACAAGCCCAGTATCAGCGATTCTGGGGCTCGTATAAATAGTAATGTCCTCCACAGTAGTGCATCTAACTGGATACTGGAGAGTGGAATGGACTTCTGTCTCACTGGTGCCACCAGTGTTATTGTCTTCAGATAAGCCACAGTCCTCAGTACCAACTCCTTCCCTCTCAGCACTGGTATCCTTTGCCAGAGGATGGTCTGATCCCTTCAACTAGAGACAGTTTGGGGAGCAGGTTTGCCCCTGGGTGACAGGACACCAGTACCATATGCCTTGTGAACTCCTGACACTCCCATACCAGCACAGAGACTCACCTGACTAAGAGGTGTCAGGAAGGACGTCCTCTCTTTTTGCATAAGAGCTTGGGAAGGGGATTTCTCACGTTTCCTATGGGAGTGCTTGCTCTTACCACCCTCACATCTGCTTGAGACGGTCTAACTGTGCTCTGATGTTAGAGCCAGAAGCCAACATGCTCGCAGAAGTACTTCTCAGTGTCTCTGGCCAATGCACAGGGGGGGGGGTCTGACAGGTCAGGAATGGACTGTGGCCTCATTGTGTGGTCCATGAGGAATATTCCAAGCCTTAATTCATGGGCCTGACAGGTTCATCTAGGAAAGATCTGGCAGATATTGCACTTGGCTTCACCAAGGCAATAGAGGAACATATTGTGGTCCTCACTGACCAAGAAAGCCTGGGAGCAGGCCATGCAGATCTTGAATCTAAGGATCCTGGGCATACTGGGGACCTTGTACAGGTGGGTGTCCAGACACAGGGGACCCTCATAGCCTTAAGAACTACTAATAATCTTTTCATCAATAGCCAAATGCCAGTTTTATTTCTCAGAAGTTTAATTTGGTAAATTTGCTTATATATTTTAAAATGTTAAAAGCTGCCCTGTATCCAAGATAACTAAACCAATAAGTCAATTGCAAATTAAGAGTCATGTCCAGTTAGTGCAGTGGCTCTCAAACTTTTTTTTAACTGATGACCCCTTTCACCTAGCAAGACTCTGAGTGCAACCTCCCTCTTATAAATTAAGAACACTTTTTATATATTTAACACCATTATAAATGCTGGAGGCAAAGCAGGATTTGGGGTGGAGGTTGATAGCTCGCAACCCCCCATGTAATAACCTCGTGACCCCCGAGGGGTCCCGACCCCCAGTTTGAGAACCCTTGAGTTAGTGAGCTATAGAGGCTTTGCACTGCTCTGTTTCTTGTTCATGTATGTAATCTGATTATTAAAAAAACAAAATTCACACAAAAGTTAACCTAGGGAGAGATTGGCTAACCATTCTAAACATGTTAAACTGTCTAAACTAGTTGCTAAGTGGTATTTCAAATTATGCTAGATAACAAGTATTAATATGATTAAAATAACACACCCCCACTACCTCTTTCTCCCTCCCCCCAGTCTAGACACGGCATTAGATCCTGTAGCGCTTAAACATCTAACTGCCTCAGAAAGCACCACAGTCCACAAGTTATGAATACCCTGCTAGTTGTTCTGCCAGCCATTAACATCTCTGGTCTCAAAAGCTCTCCTGAGGAATGCAAGCCACACAGATTAAGTATACCCGGGGGCATTTACAGACTCTGCAAGAAATCTCAGCCAGAGACTACAGCCGCATCTACACGACAGGCACTATAGCAGCACAGCTACAGCATTGCTGCTACGCCACTGTAGTGAAGACATTTCCGACATCAACAGGAGTTTTTCAACTCTGTAGGTAATCCACCCCTCCGAGTGGGAGCAGCTAGGTAGACTGAAGAATTTTCCCATCGACTTAGCTGCATCTACACCAGACATTAGGTCAGCATAGGTTAGAACTCAGGACTGTGAATTTTTCACTGACAGTACTAGCTACGTTGACCTAACTTTTATGTATTGACCAGGCCCTCAAGAAACAATCTTTTATGAAGTCTTCCAGGGACTCTGCAGACTTTATAAAGCCAACAGGGTTCAGAGGTTTGAAAAAAAAAAATAGTTCCAAATTTAACCCAAACTTTTCCAAGTTATATCAGAGAGATTCTTATCAGGGACCTCATAATAAATGAGCTAAGCTAAGGCCTGGTCTACTTGAAAACATTATGTCAGCATAACTATGTCACTCAGGGGTGTGAAAAATCCACATCCCTGAGTGGCATAGTTAAACCAACGTAAGTCCCTGTGTAGACTGCGCTAGGTCAACTGAAGAATTCTTCCATCAACCTAGCTACTGTCTCGAGGAGAAGGATTACTTACACCGTCGGACTGAAGTGCTACAATGGTGCAGCTGTGCTGTTGTAGCATTTTAAGTGTAGACAAGCCCTAAGATGTTTTAAAAAATGAGACCGTTTCGGTGGGGGGGGGAGTGAAAAACCCAGAGGTTCTCACAACTTCAAAGTTTACATAGATCTTGTCCAAGTCCCCTCTGCACCTTTCCCAGCTCCCACGTTTTTTTCTGGATTACAGCTCCTAGAAATTTCAGGCAGCTTAGTTGGCAATGTTAAGAGGTGGCTTTGCAACAAAAGGTTTATAGCAAAGATATCCACAATCTCAGTTATGAGATGACTTCCCTACATAGTGTCACTGTTCTGGCCAAATACTTACCAGTGCAGGCCACTGTGCAAGTGAGATCTGAGTTCCCTGAAGCAGAACTGGATCACTTCGAGGAGCCCATACCAGTGACCCTTCCAGCAGCAACACTATGACCTCTTCAGCATGAACTTTCACCCAGGCATGTTGCTTCCAGTTGCAGCCATCAAACTCCACAAAGATCTACAAAAACATATTTAACATGTTTCAGACACCGTAGGTGGGTGGAAACCATACAAACCCACATGGATAAAGACTTCAGCTTTAGTCAGGAAAATTAGTATCACTTGAGAACACATGCTTCATATCAATATTAGATCGTCATGTCTGCATAGCTACCACACACATTACCAAAGAGACAAATCAGAGAAGTGCATGGTGACTACAGAAAATTGGAGAGTTCATCTCCCCCCCCATACCCCACCAATTTCAGGTATTGTATCTTTCCATGAGATATGAAAGACATGCACCAGTTGCCCCCTTACCCTAAAAATCCAGCTGGAAGTAACACACTCCAAACAGGCCTCTCAAAGATCATAGAATTATAGAACTGGAAGGGACCTTGAGAGGTCATCTAGTCCAGTCCCCTGAACTCAAGGCAGGACTAAGTTTTATCTAGACCATCCCGGACAGGTGTTTGTCCAACCTGCTCTTTAAAACTCCCAATGATGGAGATTCCACAACCTCCCTGGGCAATTTGTTCCAGTGCTTAACCACCCTAACAGTTAGGAAGTTTTTCCTAATGGCCAACCTAAACCACCCCTGCTGCAATTTAAGTCCATTGCTTTTTGTCCTATCCTCAGAGTTTAAGAACAACAATTTTTCTCCCTCCTCCTTGTAACAACCTTTTATGTACTTGAAAACTGTTGTCCCATCTCAGTCTTCTCTTCTCCAGACTATACAAACCCAATTTTTTCAATCTTCCTTCATAGGTCATGTTTTCTAGACCTTTAATCAAATATGGATTTTTAACTGCTTTCAAACCCACCCTAAGTTTCCAACAGATTTGCCCAACTGTTATGATAAATTGTTACAAGTGTTATTCAATCAAGTATGTTTCATGTCCAGAGAGCACACTCTAAATGGGAAATTCTTCTCTTACATTGGGTGGGCACTGCTATTCCATTCTCTAAAATATGGACACACACTTCTGTCAGTGTTTGGGATTATCCAGATTTATCTACTCACTAGAAACTTTGTAATATATTAAGCCTCCCCTAAAATACAATTGCAGTGCACTTTAACATATTAACCCTCAATCTCTCAGGTAGCATCCCTGTTTTTCAGCCAGGTAAATGGAAGTACGGAGACACTGAAGTGACCAGTCTGAAGTTACACACTGAGTGGTGAAGACAGGAACAGAATCTAGGAGTCTCAGTCCCTAATCTAACCACTAAAAGGACACTGCCTTCTGTAACAAAGTGGTCTCTGACAGGACACAACTAAGGGCTTGCCTACATTACCCGCTGGATCGACGGGCAGTGATCGATCCAGCGGGGGTCGATTTATTGTGTCTAGTCTAGATGCAATAAATCGACCGTTGAGCGCTCTCCCATCGACTCCGGTACTCCACCAGGGCGAGAGGTGCAGGCGGAGTCAATGGGAGAGCGTCTGCCGTCAACTTACCGCAGTGAAGACACCGCGGTGAGTAGATTTAAGTACGTCAACTTCAGCTACATTATTCACATAGCGGAAGTTGTGCAACTTAAATCACCCCCCCCCCCACCCCACCAATATAGACCAGGCCTGAGAGTATCAATTCAGGCAGGACAAATTGCTTAGAGCAGGGCAGTTACAGCCCAAGGCTGGGTTTCCTTTATTACTAAGGCACACCAAACCAGCCAGAGAGGACTTTGGTTTTACCCCTCTGGCTAACCAGAAGTCATACAAGCAATTCCCTCAGATATGCCAGTTCCTTTGTTTCACTACCAGCACCGCTCCTTATGGGGATGACTGGTTATGAAAACCAATAGCCCAGTAAAAGAAAAAAGGTTCTCCCGGATCCCAAAGGACCAAGCCCAAGACCCAGGTCAATATACAAATCAGATTTTAAACCACAAATCACAGTTGCCAATCCTTTAGAATCTAAAGGTTTATTCATAAAAAGAAAATATAGATGAGAGCTAAAATTGGTTAAATGGAATCAATTACATACAGTAATGGCAAAGTTCTTGGTTCAGGCTTGTGGCAGCGATGAAATAAACTGCAGGTCCAAATCAAGTCTCTGGAGTACATCCATAGTTGGGATGGGTCATTCAGTCCTTTGTTCAAAGCTTCAGTTTGTAGCAAAGTTCCTCCAGAGGTAAGAAGCAGGGTAGAAGACAAAATGGAGTGGTTTCCAGAGCCTTTCATATCCTCTGCCATGTGGAGCTCTCCCAGCGCTGCAGGTACTCCACCTCCCCAAGGGGATTAGCTTACAGCGCTGGGAGCCACTGTTTACACTGGCGCTTTACAGCGCTGTAACTTGCTGTGCTCAGGGGGCTGTTTTTTCACACCCGAGCGAGAAAGTTGCAGCGCTGTAAAGCACCAGTGTAGCCAAGGCCTTAGAATCAAACACATTGAGATACAAGTACACAGCCAATATTCATAACTTCAAATACAAAAATGATACACACAGACAGACACAGCATAATCATAACCAGCAAACTACAACCTTTCCATAGACACCCCACTTGACCTCCTCTGTACAAGACCTGGTGCAACCATAGGACCCTGGTTGCAACAATGATCCATACGGTCACAATTCATGTCAACAACATCACACCTTCTCAAAATCAAACACTAATGCTGCTGCATTCCAAGCTTTTGGGTATGTCTACACTACAGGGACTATACCAGAATAGCTAAGGCGCCGTAGCTATGCCACCATACCTCTATTGTAGACACAGCTTATGTCAATGGAATGGATTTTTCCATCAGTGCAGTAACACTACCACCCTCCCGAGCTAGGCTGATGGAAGAACGCTTCTGAGTGCAAAACATCAGTGGCATGTTGTACGTTACAATCAAGACTTTTACTAATTGACAAAACGTTCCTGAGGGCCAACAGCGAAGGACAGAAGCTGGAGACCACCCACGCTTCCCCACCTCTCACCAAAAAAGCTCCTGAGCTCCACAGGAGAAATAATATTTGTAGGTGCTCCCCTAAATAATTCCTAGACTCCCTTAGCACCTAAGAATTCTACATCACTAAAATTAGCTATGCATATATAGGCAGCCCTTTTATTTAGGACACAAATATTAGTCAGAGTGATGCGTGCGTGCACGCAAGCTACCTTCCTCAATTCAACCTATGAAAGCCAATTTTCACTGGAATACTGAATGGCACTTCTACTCTACAAGAATTTGCACCCTGCCAAATTTCTACTTTAGAAGGGCTGTTAAAAGTTGCCAAAATAATTTTTCCCATTATACATTTCTTCCCCCTCCCCTCCCCTCCAATCATTTTCAGATAGCTGAACTTTTTGTAAATTTTTTTAAAAAATAATTTCTCTGGTGGAGATCAAGGCTAGAAAATTCTAGCTCAGAAGGTGAGAAGTTTCAAGAAGTTATAAGCAACAAAGTGGTGGGAACAGTTACTATTTCTGACACGCCCTCAGTGTTTTCCCTCTTCCTTTTTCCTTCATCTTTGGATACTTAATTTAGACACGTGTGCAGCCTGTACAGTTTTTGTATGTAACTATAGAGAGCTACACAATTTTTGGTTCTGAACCAGTATCAGATTATTTTTCTCATGAAAATCTGCTAGCTAGCTTCTCCAAGGCCAACCAATGCAAGGGAGAGGTGGCAGAGGCTACCATTCCAAACAGTGGAGCACAATAAAGAGGAAGCTAACCAGCCTGAGACCAACAGGTTGTACTCTCAAGTGTCCACATTCAAAGCGTAGAACATAAGTTCTTTATTTTGCCCCAAATGGCTGGCATTGAGTATGCACAAGACAGAGAATGACTTGTAAAGACTGCCTGAAATACTTGTGTGGATTGATTGCTGTGTGGCTATAACAAGGATACACATACACCAATAATCATATTTTCAGACTATTTGCAAAGTGATGTATAATGCAGATTCACATGGAGGCTGTTCAAGACAGCAAGAGCTGCACAGAAGGAAGCTGATGCCAATATCATGGAGATTGTGCAAAGGGAAGAAGAGACTCTTGCAAGGCAAGCAGAGGAGAGAAGTAAAGACAAAGCCAAGAAGATCTGAGAACAAACATAATACACTCTTCGCATGTGAGAGGTGGAAGGCAGCAACATACCGCACATGCTGGAATGTCAAGAAGCCATGGTGAGGGTGCTGCAACAAGAGACGTTTTGGGTGTCCAAACACCTTAATTTGAATATTTATTACATCTGGACTTGATTTATCCAGATATACATTTTAAAAATGTTTTCAGAGGTTTTTAAGACAATTAGATCTCGTCTTCAGTTCTGAGTCTGAAGGAGAAAATTATTAAATAATATGCTAAGGCCTTGACTACATTAGCCTTTATTCTCCCAAAGTTTCTCACCATATCTACCACTGATGGGGTTACTAGTCTAGACAAGGACTCCTGCTGCCAGTAGCATTTTTACACTGTAACTCTGCTCAGAGCAGGTATAAGAATACCAATGGTGTCTTGTTTATACTACCTGACTGCTGGTGCTGGGAAATTTTGTTGAAAGAGACCAGTGTACACAAGTCCTTAGCAAACTATAGAAACCCACTGCTGCTGCTTGGGGATGAGACAAGCAGAGACTTGCTCAAGTTCCTGAATTCCCCACCCTATGGAGTAAGTGTCCCTTAGGCTCTATCCACACTAAACAGTTTCTAATAAAGCTTATTCTACCAAGGATTATGAGGAACACAATTTTTGCAGTGTAGAGACAGCCTGACAAAGCTGTATAACCCTTTGTTTAGTTTATTGCAACAAAGGGGAACACTAAAGAGCCAATAAAGTACTAAAATTGAGCTTGCCCCTTTTTTGCATCTTTGTGATGTATGAAGGCAGCCTGGAAGGCCTGAGAAGACGACAAGTTCTTTTTCAGCTGGTTACTTACATTAGCATTCAGGTCTCATATACCATGGAAGACCATGGTCTTGTCAACAGTAGGTTTACCCCTCAACACCGCAGTTTCCCACTTATGCATCCGAAGAAGTGGGCTGTAGTCCACGAAAGCTTATGCTCTAATAAATTTGTTAGT